TCTTGGAGATTATCTTAATTTTCCAACCCTTCAATTGAGTTTTTCATTTCCACTGACATTTTTATTTTCCAAGTGGCTTTTGGTCTTTCAATACTTTCTCCTCCTTTTAAAAAAATAGCATCCTGTTGTTTTAAGGATGTAGTATTTTTTTCTCTTTGAGAATATTAATGTTGGGTTTTTTTTTTTTTTTGACGTTTTATTTTCCTCGCATAGTTTCCATTTCCTCTTAAGTTTTTTTGTTCCCATTTGATTTCTGTCTTTCAATGTTACGGGCTTTGCTCGGATGTCTGGTAATCATTGGTTGTCTATTTAAAAGTAGAGGACTAAAACACCTGAGTGGGGTGAGTCTTGTTGACGTTGGGCTCGTTGGAGGGGGATTTAGCTTAGCCATTTTGTTGAGGTAACTCCAGTGCCAGAGTTATTAGGTGTTTCCTCTTGGGCTGGTCAGATTCCCATCCGTGGGTGTTCCGTTTCCTGTCTTGATGGTGAAGGCTTGGCTGGCAGTGTTCTGAGAGCTGAGTGTGGGAAGAGGGCTCGGGTGTGTGTATGTCTGTTTCCAATAAGGGTCCATTGACTTCTGTTCTTGATTTCTTTCCCTCTACCCTCAACTGGGCGAGTGTCCCCCTGTCCATAGAGTGCTATGGTAACTTCTCCACAGAATTTTCTTTTATTGGGGTGGGGGAAGGGCAGTCGTTGGTCTGTTTGGAATGGGAGAGGAGATTAGGGATGCCGGATTGCTTCTTAAATAGCTATCAAACAGTCTTTATTTTAGATTCTCTCCACTCCACCTCTAGAGGTACCTTCATTTCACCAATTCTTAAAAAACTTTGAGGGATTTTGCAGTGTAAGTTGGGTTGGTTTCTGTGTGGCAGACATAGTCCCTTCCTGCCAGCAGCTATGTAAGATTTACATGCTCATGCTGTATTGTCTCCTTTAGATCCTTGAGGGTAACATGAAGGCCCACTTTGTTATGGATGATCCAGCAGGAAACAGCTACTTGCAGGTACTGTAGACCTTCCCTGGTATTTCACAGAGATATCTTTTCTGACCTTCCTTAAATATGTATCATTTCTCCAGAAACCGAGAGACTTAATTCTAAATGAACTGCTTTTTATCAAGGAACCTTTTGGCAGAAATTGGAACATAAGAGAGGAAGGGGGAAGGTGTATGGGACTGTAAGTGTGTGTCAAGAGGGGGAAAAAGGAGACTCCCAGGTTCCTTCTTCCTCTAGTCTAGCTCGAGTCCCAGCTCTAAGTACAGCAGTGGCATTTTCATTTTGCAAATCTGACCGTGGATTGAGGAGAAATGGTGCCTTGTCCAGAGGCCAAGATGGGAAAAGGCTTTAAGCTGACTAGGGAGATACTCTGGTGATTAACAGTAACTTTAACATTTATTGAGCAGTTATTATGGGTCAGGCAAAACTGTTCTAAGGTCTCTCCACTGTTAAGACTATGCTACTCTCTTCGTAAGAAGGTGCAGATAGAAAGTTTTTCTCCGTGCAGTCCCACTTCTAGCCCATGTGGGTTCTGTTGCTGCCCACGAGTTGAGCCTAGCCATGGGGGTGTTGGAGGCCCTTAAAAAGAGAATAAAGGGACTTCCCTGGCGGTCCAGTGGTTAGGACTCTGTGCTTCCACTGCAGGGGGCGCACGTTCAATCCCCGGTCAGGGAATTAAGATCCCGCATGGCGTGCGGCCAAAAACAAAACAAAACAAAAAGGAATAAACACCTCCTTAAGGTCCTGGGAAAGTGGGAATTGGAAGCTGTCTGGGGGGGTGGGGGTGGCAGGATGGCACAGGCACTGATGGTCTGTCCTTGGCCTTGTAGAACGTGTACGCACCTGAGGACGATCCTGAGATGAAGGTGGAGCACTATAAGCGCACATTTGACCAAAACGAGGAACTGGGGCTCAATGACATGAAGACGGAGGGCTATGAGACAGGTCTGGCTTCCCAGTGGTAGCCGTGGGCGGTTCCTGGCCAGCCTCCAGCGCTGCTCAGACCGCGGGGTTAATTATTGCTATTGGAAAAGGCTGGAGTGGCCTCCCCACCAGGCCTTGCCCACGTGGGGAGGACACCTGGTCTGAGTCGGAGATCTGAGCACAATTTCTGAACAGTCTGTGACGGAAATGCGAGCCTCTTGGGTTACTTGACCTTGTTTTGGAGGATTTGAATTGGCCTGCGAAGAAACCCAGAAATGAACCATCGGGCATGTCATTGTCATTTTTTTCCTATCAAGTCTTTACCCTCCCTCCACACAATGCTCTCTCATGTCAAGCTGGAACTCTGAAGAGCTGGAGAAGGTGGAAGACAGTTACGTCTGGGGTTTGGAAGTCGGTTGGGCATATAAAATACTCTCAACAGGAAGAGCGTCTTCTGGGGGAGGGAGTCTAGGGCAGGTGAAGAAGTTCTCAGTAAACTGGTGGCTTCTGAACAGCACCGGCCTCTGAAGTCACTCTGTCCTTGTTTTATTATTGTTTATTAGCATTTTATTATTATTTTTATTGTTTGCACTCTGTCCTTATTTGTTATGCTGGTAGAATTCAACCTCCTGAAGAACATTTTCTCCGGTGTGGCTATACCGTAATTTGGGGACTGGAGCTGGCATTTCATTCATTCCTTCAATAGATGTTTGAGTGCTTGCTTTGCGCCTGGCACATCATAGAACTGAACAAAATAAAGCTCTGCTTTCATGGAGCTTCAAGTGTAGTGGGGAAAATTGGCAAACAGTGGGTGGGGGGTTGACAAGAAACCAACAAGTAGAACAGTGTCAGATTAATCACCATGTTATGGAGGAATGTCAAGCAGGGAAGGGGTCTGGGTAGTGCCAGGGAAGGTGGGGGCATTAGCTTTATTGGATGGAACTGCAGAGACAGGGCAAAACTTAGACCGTGCCACTGGTCGTGAATGCATTTGATCCTGCTTAACTGCCCTGTGAGGCAGGGTTAAGACCTGAGCTTAGTCTTGTCAGGCTAAGGTTTGGTACTGAGTAGAAAGGGTAGAGGTGGAACTGAAGACAGAAATGGGCAGGAGGCGATGGGGTGGAGAGGACTATACTGGTAATGTTCACTGGAGCAGAAATATGAGACTTTCCCGATGTCTGCTGACACCAGGGTGGAGGCAGGGCTGTGGAGTTCAGCTTGAGATACACTAAAGTGTACTAGAAGCCAAGGCAGGGTTGTGGATGGGAGACCTGTGGGGCCCTGCAGCTAGTGAAGCCCTATCAGTCCAGTGCCCCCTTCTCATAGACCCTGAGAGACCCAGCCTGCTCTTCTTCCTGGGCCTGTGCTGTGACCACTCAGTGTAGCCCAGTGGTTAAAAGTTCATGCTTCAGGGCAGTGACCTCCAAACCTGTTTTGTTATGTATATTTTCTGGACCTGTGTTCCAAGATATGCGTATTTATTTATAAAGTATAACAATACTTTATTGACCAATAAACCTTAAAACGTGACAAAAATTTAACATATTGTGAGATAAGTAAAATACGCAATCTAATTCTTTTTCAAGAAATTTGGATTACCTCTTGCACCCCACTTTGTTAGCCTCTGCTCCCAAGGGTCACATGTTCTGGCTGTGTGAAGTTGGACAACTTAACCTCTCCAAGCTTCAGTTTTCTCATCTGTAAGGTAAGGATAATAAAAGCATGAGAAATGTGAGGGTTAAATGAGATAATTCAAGTAAAGCTCTTAATGCCCACAAGAAGAAAAGTCTTCTCCCTAAACCTGAGTATTAGAATTCAGTCTCTCTAGGGACTTCCCTGGCGGTCCAGTGGTTGAGACTCCGCTTCCACTGCAGGGGGCACGGGTTGCATCTCTGGTCGGTGAACTAAATCCCGCATGCCGCCTGGCCAAAAAATAAATTACCTGAGTTTTAAAAAATAAAAGACTGAATGACAAAAAAAACAAAAAAAAATTCAATCTCTCTAGCTTCTCTCTTGCCATGCTGAAAATAGATCCAGGTCATTTTCATTGGAAATATACGCAAGAGATAGCTAGGGGCAACAAATATCAAATGTGGGTAAGATACATAGGTTAGAAACCTCCATATTTTTCATAGTAATTATATTGGGTTTGGAATTCCTGAGTTCCTCTGTTGAATAGTTATTTTTTTGTTTGTTTTTTAAAGGGGCTTTTTATTTACTTATTTATTTTTGGCTGTGTTGGGTCTTCATTTCTGTGCGAGGGCTTTCTCTAGTTGCGGCAAGCGGGGGCCACTCTTCATCGCGGTGCGCGGGCCTCTCACTATCGTGGCCTCTCTTGTTGTGGAGACGCGCAGGCTCAGTAGTGTGGCTCACGGGCCCACTTGCTCCGCGGCATGTGGGATCTTCCCAGACCAGGGCTCGAACCCGTGTCCCCTAGCACTAGCAGGCAGATTCTCAACCACTGCGCCACCAGGGAAGCCCTGTTGAATAGTTCTTGAAAGCCTCTCAAAGCAGATTTCTCTCCATCTAAACATACTAATAAAAATAACGGACACACTATGCCAGATGCTGTTCAAAGCACTTTCCACAGTAATATTAACCTAGTCCTTGCAACCACTGGGTTCGGTGTCATCATTATCCCCGTTTTGTTAAGTATGTTGTCCAAGGTCGTACAGTTAGGAAGTTATGGAAGCAGAACTCAAACTCAAGCTGCACTGCGGCTCCAGAGCCCACGTACCTAACTACTGCTCTCTGGCGCTTCTGAAGCTGCTGGCGGCAGAGATCTTGTTGGGGTCGTGGCTGTAGCCTCGCGGCTACAACAGCGCTTGCTGCACGGTCTGTTGAATGACTGAATGGACAAAGATAAGAAACACGATTGTCACGTCAGAGGGATGTAAAGTGGGCCCGCAAGGTGCGCGCGTCCCTCGTAAGCCCGCAAAAGCTCACACGGGACTCCCTGTCGGTTCCAAACACCCTCCCTCGCTTCCGGTCCTGGCCCCGCCTCCCAGAGTCCTCGCTCTCCGTTTCGCGTTCAAGAGTTTTGTCCGCAGCGTCGATCCGTCTCCCCGCCTTCGCTGCTGCCATGGCGGCAGCTCTGCCGCTCTCCAAGGCCGAATACCTGAAGCGTTACTTGTCTGGGGCAGATGCCGGCGTCGACGGGGGCTCTGAGTCCGGCCGCAAGCGTCGCAAAAAGCGGCCGAAGACTGGCGGGGCTGGCGGCAAGGGGTGAGTTGGCCCTGGCGGGGCGCGGTCCGCGCGGCTCGCCGCCCCTCACCTTCCCAGCTCCGCCCTCGGCCCGGCTCTTCCTGGGCTCCTCGCCGGCGGCCCCGAGGGGCCCAGCGCCCTTGACTGCTCGCCCGGCGCTGCCTGAGCCCAGAGTTCGCTCAGACCGCTCCTCGCTCCCCTGGGCAGTATCTTCGACGTATTCAGGCCCGGCTGTAACTTTCATTACTCTTTTCCCGCCTTTGTAGCATTCCGTCCTCTCCCGCAGAGAATGAATATTGTGCCCTGAGACTAAAGTGGTGAAGCAAATTCATAGGTTCTGTGCGTGGATACTAAGGGCCCGGAACATGTCGGTGGGGATTCTCCAGTGCCAAGGACTCCGGTCCTGAGTCGGAGACCTGTGCTCACTTCCGGTTACTCTTCCTACTACTACTAACAATAACAACTAACGCTTATACAGTTCTTGTCAAGTGCCAGGCACCGTTCTAAGTACTTTAGACCTAAACGAATTTATTTAAGCTTCATAACAGTACCATGAAGCAGATATTTTTGTTACCCCCACTCTTCGAACGAGAAAACTTATGTGGCCCAGTGTACTGGGTTGAATAGTGCCCCTTCCCTCCAAGGCATGTCCACCCAGAACCTCAGAATGTGACATTGTTTAGAAATAGGGCCTTTGCTGTTGTAATTAGTTAAGATGAGGTCATAGTGGGTTAGGATGGGCGCAGAATCCAATATGACTGGTGTCCTTTTAAGAAAAGGGAAATTTGGATACAGAAACGGACTTACAGGGAAAACTACCACGTGAAGATGGAGGCTGAGACTGGACTGGATTTATGCTGACAATAGGGGCTACCAGAAGTGCGAGGAGTCAAGGAAAGGGCTTTCCCTAGAGCCTTACTGGCGGGCATTGCCTTGCAGACACCTGATTCCAGACTTGAAGCCTCCAGAACTGTGAGAGAATACATTTCTGTTGTTTTAAGCCACCCAGTTTGTGGTACTTTGTTAGGCAGCCCTAGGAAACTAATAATATACCCAGTAAAGTCAAGTAGTTCCGAAGAACTAATCCATTTCCTCTCCTGGTTTGGTTGTTGTGTTGTTCTTGCTTTCTGTCCCCTCTGACTTGTGTGGATTCCTTGGAGGCAGTGCCATGTAGTGAAATTAACTTGAGCTTTGGAGTAACACTGATTAGGCTTTGAGTCCTAGCTGTGCCACTTTATGGGCTGTGTGGCCTTGGGCAAGATATTTCATCTGCCTAAGCCTCAGTTTTTTCATCTTTAAAAATGATAGTAAAACTGAATGATATCACCTATATTAAATGGTTGTTGTGATAAGTGATCTTGCCTTTTCAAATAATAACTGTTAATAATAACTGTTTATATCATGGCATTGTTATTATTTGGACTCATCCATAGTTTATCCATGTAACAAACATTTATTGAGTATTTCCTATGCCAGTTTCTGCAGGGTGTTGAGGATATCACTGTGAGTGAGAGAGGCCTAGTCCCTACTCTGATGGAGCTTATAGTTTAATGGGGATACAGCCTTTAAACAACTAATTACACAACTGGTTGATTTATTTCCTTTGTGTTAAAGTATTCCAAGAATGAGTAACGGGGGTTCTTAGTTGGGGGAGGTAAGTGAAATAGTACTGGAAGGTCTGTGAAGGAAGTTATATATATGCTAGGATTTTAAGAATGCGTTAAGAGTTTCCCAGTAAAGAATGAGAAGAGTAGGTTAGGCAGAGGGAAGGAACTGAGACATGAAACTGATACGGAAAGGAATTTGGCTCATTGTAGGCACCAAAAGATGACTAGTGAGTAGTGAACTGAGGAGGCAGTGGAACAAGATGAAGTTGGCCGTATTGGCAAAGAATGGACGATAGATCTTGTAGGATTTTGAGTTTTAGCCTAAAACCAAAGATAAGTGTTTGTAGGCTGTTATCCAAAAATGTTTCTTCTCTTTTGATCTTTTTATTTTTCACATTTAGAATGCGGATTGTGGATGATGACGTGAGCTGGACATCTATGTCAACCACTAAAACAGAAAAGGAGGAAGAGGAAGATGATGGAGATTTGCCTGTGGTGTGTATCTTTTGAGGCTGTGAGGACTTTGAAATGCAAGCCTCTCAATCTCGACTCCCAGTGCAGGGTAGATTAGTAAGGGGGAAAGTTGAGGGCAGAGAAGAGGTGACACTTTCCAGGAGCTATTTTAAAGTAGTCTTCTTTGCTGATGCCTATACACAGTCTTTGTATATGGAGGGCTCCATCTGCCTGGAAACGGGAACTGATCACAGAGAGGCAGGATTCCTCAGTGTCAGTGATAGAGCCATGATTAGAATTCGCCATGGTTCAAGTTGTTGGAACCTACCTTAAAAATAACGTTCAGGTTCAATCAAAGGAAACTTTTTAATTGCTCATTTTATTCCCTGATTCAACTAAGCTTTAAATTATATGCTCTTGCCTAAGCACAGGAGATATGTAGATTAAGAGAACGTAGTGTCTGTACTTTACAGATCATACTCTACAATGGGAGACTGAACTTCAAATGACAATATGATGCATGTTGGGGATAGAGTTCACATATGTACCAAGTGCCATTAGAACACAAGGGAGATAGCATACTTTTTATTCCACTGGGAAATTCCATGAAGGATGGAAATATCTGAATTGAATTTTAAAGGATGAGTAAGAGCCAGGTGGGTAAAAGCATAGGCAAAGAAGTTAGCATTGGTATGGTCATGGAACCTTGCTCAGAATTGCTGAGAAACATGGTGAAAAGGAGAGCTGTTGATAGGCTGTATTATACTAAAAGGTTGTAAAGGTGAATTCCAGATGAGTATGTTTAATGTTAATCCCCAGCATATTCTATAATATTGATAAGATTATTTAAAAGAAGGTTTGTTAGTAATTAGAAGGGAAATAGTGATCATAAGGAGCCAATTTAGTTTCAATCAGAATGAATTACTGAAACCTAGTTAATGTTTATAACATTTGTTGTTGTTTTTAAATTTTATTTATTTTTTAAAAATTAATTAATTTATTTTATTTATTCTTTTTTTTTTTTGGCCTTGTTGGGTCTTCGTTGCCGCGCACAGGCTTTCTTTAGTTGAGGCGAGCAGGGGCTACTCTTCATTGCGGTGCGCAGCTTCTCATGGCGGTGGCTTCTCTTGTTGCCGAGCACGGGCTCTAGGCGCACGGGCTTCAGTAGTTGTGGTGTGCGGGCTTCAGTAGTTGTGGCTCATGGGCTGTAGAGCACAGGCTCAGTAGTTGTGGCGCATGGGCTCAGTTGCTCTGCGGCATGTGGGATCCTCCCGGACCAGGGCTCAAACCCGTGTCCCCTGCATTGGCAGGCGGACTCTCAACCACTGTGCCACCAGGAAGCCCTATTTTTTTATTTTATGAAAGCAATACATGTTTATTATAGAATATTTTGGAATTGTAAGAACGTTTAAGTTTTAAAAAGAATATATAATCACTTTTACTGTGACCATCCAGAGATAACAACTGCTAACGTTTAGATGCTTTAATTCATAGATTGTAATACTTGTATTTTATTTATTTTTTTCAAATATAATTGGGATTATACTATACATACGGTTTTGGAACCTGCTCTTTTACTTAATAGTATGTTGTCAATACTTTAGTAAGACTTAAAAATATTCTTTGAGAATGTGACTTTTAATGGTTGCATAGTAGCTCAATATACATATTAATTTAATCTGTCTTATTACTGGCTGTATGGGTTGTTTCCTGTTTTAAAATATCATAATGATTTAATAAACATTTTGGACATAAATCATTGTAAGAATCCATTTATTTCTTTATTCCTATGAAGTGAAATCAATAGGTCAGAGAGTATGGTCATTTTAGGGTTTTCCCATATTGCTTTCCAAAAGGTGGTATGAATTTACACTCCCACTAGAGGTGTATGGGAATGTCAGTTTCCCCATTTCTTCATCAATATTGGAGCATTATTCACATCAACAAAGCAACTGCAAACCTATGTCAATTTGGCAGGTGAACAGTGGTATCCATATTCTTTGAAAAAATAGTAAAATGAATGATTTTTCATATGTTTCTTGGGCTTTTGTATTTTATGAATTTCTTGTATTTGTGCATTATTTTAGAAACTTGGAGTTTTTATTTTTTTCATTGATTTATTTGATATTTGTATAATAGGAATATATTATCTGTTTTACATGCCGTAGGTATATTTTGTCATTTGCCTCTTCATTTATAATAGTTTTTAATATTTAAAAATTTTGATTTTTTGTAGTCAGGTCTGTTAATTTTCCTTCATAATATTGTCTTTTGCTCTTATGATTGTCCCAAAACCTACATAAAGGAAGCTTTAGCCCCACTGCTAGATTCTGTGCTTGTTACAACAGACCTTGATTATTGAATTCATTTTTGTTACTCCAAGATTATCACAACCAATAATTAGGACAACCACAGTAATAGTGGCAGCACAAGATTAATAGGTGTAATTTACCACGTACCAAGCACTGCTAAGCTTACATGAATTATCTGTTGAATCCTCATAGCAATCCTTTGATCCTGCTTTTACAAATGAGGAAATTGAGGCTTAGAGAGAATAATTTGCCAAAGGTTATACAAATATTAAGGGACAAAGCTGGGAATTTAGATCTCAATTCATCTTGTTTTTTTAAAAATAAATTTATTTATTTATTTATTTTGGGCTGCATTGGGTCTTTGTTGCTGCACGCAGGCTTTTCTCTAGTTGCGGCGAGCGGGGGCTACTCTTTGTTGTGGTGCACGGGCTTCTCACTGCAGTGGCTTCTCTTGTTGTGGACCACAGGCTCTAGGCGCACGGGCTTCAGTAGTTGTGGCATGCAGGCTCAGTAGTTGTGGCTCATGGTCTCTAGAGCACAGGCTCAGTAGTTGTGGCACACGGGCTTAGTTGCTCCGCAGCACATGGGATGTTCCAGGACCAGGGCTTGAACCCGTGTCTCCTGCGTTGGCAGGCGGATTCTTAACCACTGCGCCACCAGGGAAGCCCCATCTTGTTTGAAAGCCTGTGTTTTTAATGCCCAGTGAGAGATCTCAAAACTAGGTTATATGAAGAATGATGGTAGGATCTTGGGAGAAGAGAAGAAGTAGAGGGGAATTCAAACCTGGGTTTGAGTTTCATTTGTGCCACTTGCTAGGTTGAGAAAGTTACTTAACTTCTCTGAGCCATAGTTTGCTCTTAGTAGTGTGGAGCCTTTCTTTCCAGGGCTTTTGTGAGGATAAAGTGAGATAATATAAGTAAAGCACAAAACACAGTGCCTTGCTCATAGTTGCTACTGTGTAATTAGAATTTATTATGCCAGCCATCTTTGAAGGCCCCAAAATGCAGTGGACTGCCTTGTAACATGAGTTCCATGTCAGTGAATTAGTTCCCTGTCAGGGAGGGACTATGTGAGTGATCATTTATCAAGTATACTGTAGAGAAGATTACAGATTTGTTTGGGAATTTGGATGATATAAATATGGTCTTATCCCTTAAAGATTCTGTGAGTCTGTGTACATTTTATTGACTTCTTTTGGTTGGATACTAGAAAAACTGTCATTGTGACTACCTACAATAAGAAAGTTTTCATAAGGAGTCCAAAGCCCTTAATGAATGATAGGATGACAGGAAACCTGCCTGTGTTTTCACTCTGAATGTAAAAGTAAAAGGGTTAAAGGAGTTTAGCTTTTAGCTTACAAGTGGCAGTTGTATACCTGGCACATTAATAAGAAGGTATGTAATGAAAGAAATTAACCTCTGGAGGGAAATTGATTAGAGAAAGATCTATAATTAAACCATCCAGTGACAATCACATGTTTATGGAGCAAATGTAACTGAGGACCAGTACCTGTTTCTTCATGGCCGTTTTGGGTCTTCGTGTGCCGTGTATTATTAGGAATGGAATAGTCGTAGCTTCAGGTTCTTGAGACAACAACAGTGTTACTTGGCTGAATCCTGTGGATTTCCTTAATGTATTGTTCTCACTCCCACAGGTGGCTGAGTTTGTGGACGAGCGGCCAGAAGAGGTAAAGCAGATGGAAGCCTTTCGTTCCAGTGCCAAATGGAAGCTTCTGGGAGGTGAGTTCCAACAATAGGTAAATCTGAATTTCCCATTTATAGGAGAAGCCTTTTTTCTTTTTTTCTTTTTTAATTGAAGTATAGTTTACAAGATTGTGTTAGTTCTAGGTGTACAGCAAGGTGATTCAGATATATATATATCTTTCAGATTATTTTCCATTTTAGGTTATTACAAGATATTGAATATAGTTCCCTGTGCTATACAGTAAATCCTTGTTGCTTATCTATTTTAGGTTCAGTTGTTTGTATCTGTTAATTCCATACTCCTAAATTATCCCTTCCCCCCTTCCCCTTTGGTAACCATAAGTTTGTTTTCTATGTCTGTGAGTCTGTTTCTGTTGTGTATATAGATTCATTTGTATTATTTTTTAGATTCCACATATAAATTATATCATATAATATTTGTCTTTTTCTGACTTAGTATGATATTCTCTAGGTCCATCCATGTTGCTGCAAGTGGCAATATTTCATTCTTTTTTATGGCTGAGTAATATTTAGTTGTGTGTGTGTGTGTGTCCCCGTCCGTGTGTCCCACAGCTTCTTAAACCAGTAGTCTCTTGACGGACACTTGGGTTGTTTCCATGTCTTGGCTATAGAAATAGTGCTGCTGTGAACATTGGGGTGCATGTATCTTTTTGAATTAGTGTTTTTATTGTTTCCATATATGTACCCAGGAGTGGAGTTGCTGGATCATATGGTAGTTCTATTTTTAGTTTTTTAAGGAGCCTTCATACTGTTTTCCACAGTGGCTGCACCAATTTACATTCCCACCAACAGTGGAGGAGGGTTCCCTTTTTTCCACATGCTCTCTAACATTTGTCATTGGTAGACTTTTTGATGATAGCCATTCTGACAGGTGTGAGGTGATACATCATTGTGGTTTTGGTTTGTATTTCTCTAATAATTAGTGATGTTGAGCATCTTTTCATGTGCCTTTTAGCCATCTGTATGTCTTCTTTGGAAAAATGTCTATTCAGGTCTTCCCATTTTTTGATTGGGTTGTTTTTTTGATATTGAGATGTATGAGCTGTTTGTGTATTTTGAATATTAACACCTTATTGGTGGCATCATTTGCAAATATTTTCTCCTATTCCATAGGTTGTCTTTTAGTTTTGTTGATGGTTTCCTTCGTTGTGCAAAACCTTTTAAGTGTAATTAGGTCCCATTTGTTTATTTTTGCTTTTATTTCTTTTGCCTAAGGAGACTGAGCTGAGAAAATATTGCTACAGTTTAGTCAAAGAATGTTTCACCTATGTTCTCTTCTAGGAGTTTTGTGGTTTTAGGTCTTGCATTTAGGTCTTTAAACCATTTGAGTTTATATTTGTATATGGTGTGAGGGAATGTTCTAATTTCATTGTTTTACGTTTGGCTGTCTGGTTTTCCCAGCACCACTTGTTGAAGAGACTGTCTTTTCTCCATTATATATTCTTGCCTCCTTTGTCATAGATTAATTGACCATAGGTGTGTGGGTTTATTTCTAGCTCTCTATTCTGTTCCATTGATCTGTGTGTCTGTTTTTGTGCCAGTACCATGCTGTTTTGATTACTGTAGCTTTATAGCATAGTCTGAAGTCTGGGAGGATTATACCTCCAGCTTGATTTTCTTTTTCTCAGGATTGCTTTCACAATTTTGGGTCTTTTGTGGTTCGATATAAATTTTAAGATTACTTGCTCTAGTTCTACGAAAAATGTTATGGGTACTTTGATAGGGATTGCATTAAATCTGTAGATTGCTTTGGGTAGCATGGCCATTTTAACAATATTAATTCTTCCAGTCGAAGAGCACAGAATATCTTTCCATTCCTTTGAATCATCTTCAGTTTCCTTTGTCAGTGTTTTATAGTTTTCAGCATATAGGTCTTTCACCTCCTTGGTTAAGTTTATTCCCAGGTAATTTTTTTTAATGCTATTTTAACCAGGATTTTTTTTTTACCTTCTCTTTCTGATGTTTCATTGTTTGTGTAAAAGAAATGCAACAGATATCTGTATATTAATCTTATATCCTGCTATCTTGCTGAATTCATTTATTAGTTCTAATCATTTTTGTGTGGTGGCTTTAGGGTTGTCTATGTAGAGTATCATGTCATCTGCAAATAGTGACAGTTTTATTTTTTCTTTCCAGTTTGGATAGGTTTTATTTCTTTTTCTTGTCTGATTGCTGTGGCTAGGACTTCTAATACTATGTTGAATAGAAGTGGTGAGAGTGAGCATCCTTGTCTTTTCCCTGAATTTAGGGGGAAAGCTTTCAGTTTTTCACTGTTGAGTATTATAGCTCCATTGGCTATGAAGTAAGTGCCAGTTATCAAAGGTAATCACATCACCTAGACAAAAGATTTTTTTCAATATGAATATAATCCTGTGTGTAAATGATTTGCTGAGCTAGAAAATGTGAACTGCAAAATAGCATTGCTACTTGGTTCACATCAAGACACAATATGTTTATTTCTTTACATGAAAACTGCACATTTGCTTTTTCATACAAATCAGGCCCACTGAATGGAGACAGCTTTAGATCTTTTGACATTTGAACTACATAGCCTGGGGGGCCTTTGTAGAGACTTTTTATATTTTAGAATTCTTACTTAAAGTATTATCTCTGTGTAAAACTTTTTTTTTTTTTTTTTTTGCGGTACGTGGGCCTCTCACTGCTGTGGCCTCTCCCGCTGCAGAGCACAGGCTCCGGACGTGCAGGCTCAGCGGCCATGGCTCACGAGCCCAGCCGCTCCACAGCATGTGGGATCTTCCCGGACGGGGGCACGAACCCTTGTCCCCTGCATCGGCAGGTGGACTCTCAACCACTGCACCACCAGGGAAGCCCTGTGTAAAACTTTTGAATTGTTCTTCCTGATGGTTACTTATCTTTTACTCAGAAGTGTCTTTTTTTTTTTTTTTTAATTGAAGTATAGTTGATTTACAGTGTTGGGTTAATT